CTGGACTCCTGGCCGGTATTGATTATTCATTGAGCACCATAGGTACAGAGTGTCTGGTCATTATCACTGTGTAGTCTACAGGAGCTTGCTCTGCAAAAAACTGGCCACTGTGTTCTTTACAATAAAGCATTTGCAACTGCACTCCACAAAATACTTCAAAATTTAACATAATTACAAATATACTGAGGTCATTAAAGGCACCATATAAATGCGTGCTTTTCCTTACTAGTTCAGAGGGAAAGCACATGAAGCATGCAAATTTATTCAACAGTGCTTCCTGTCAGTTTCATGATGGCTGCTTGCTTTATTAATTCATTTAAGGGATGTGGGTGTTGCTGGCTACACCAGCATTCATTGCCATCCTTAATTGCCCATAGGGAGTTTAGAGTCAACCGCATTGCTGTGGGCCTGGGGTCACATGTAGGCCAGATCAGGCAAGGATGGCAGATTTCCCTCCCTAAAGTGAACCAGATGGGTTTTCTCCCAAACAGTCAGGAGTGGTTTCATGGTCATCATCATACTGTTAATTACAGACTTTTAAAAAGAAATGAACTCAAATTCCACCATTGTAGGGTTTGAACCTAGATGTTAACCAAGGATGTTTACTGCTGGATTGATAGTCTAAGGATAATACCACCAGGCCTTTACCCCAGCATTGCAATCACCAGGAGGAGAGCAGCATTAATAAACTAGATGCAATTTTCCCAGCCTCCAAACAAAGGTGCTGCTCTGATGTAACAAGGTGTAGAGCTGGATGACCACAGCAGGCCGAGCAGCATCAGAGGAGCAGGAAGGCTGACGTTTTGGCCCTAGACCTTTCTTCAGAAGGGTCTAGGCCCGAAACGTCAGCCTTCCTGCTCCTCTGATGCTGCTTGGCCAGCTGTGTTCATCCAGCTCGACACCTTGTTATCTCAGATTCTCCAGCATCTGCAGTTCCTACTATCTCTGCTGCTCTGATGTCCTTGGAACCTTCCAGGACGAACACTCAATGAGTGCCTTAAACAAGCAAGCCCTCTTGATAGTAATGACCCATTCGTAGGAATTGTAACAGTTTCAATATTGGACAAGGCTAACCACATTGTGCAGAACCATTCCCATTAATACAACCTTAAAGACAATTTGTCTTTGTGTCAGAAACTTTGGGGTGTTGTTTACAGTTAACCACTATGTTTCAAATCTATGATCAAGGACCATTCGATTTGCCTAACTCATTAACATAACAGATACGCATTCATTGCAGAGAGCTACAAAGCACTATAGTGTTTATCAAGCAAGAAGGAATCAGCAAGATGGATGGTGTTTCAGGTTGTGTGTTGCCTGGCCCCTGTACAGTGCTTATGCTGTTCGTATGTAGTGTTGTTTTCTTAACTTAATGATATAAGAAATCAAATGAATGTTGAACCTAATGGTATTGCAGATTAACAGTCCCCTATAGGTAAAGGAAAAGCATCCATTTATTTTCACATCAGCGCAGCATTTGTTTGAATTATAGACATATTGCACCCTGAAGTATAATTTCAGCTTGGCTTTATGGGTCACATGTGGAAAGGAATTTACCCTCAGCATTTGACACCTATAAATTATCGTGGCATTTTGACAGCAGTTTAATACAAAAATTTCTGTGATACTCCCGGGACATCATTAATCGTAGGCCTTCACTAACCCTAAAGCAGGCTGCACTCAAAAAAGTGCTTGTTATGATACAAATCTGCATTCTATATAAATGGCCCTATAATGCAGTGCGAGGAAATGAAGAAACATTGATTTATTTTATTAGATAATGGTGCATTTGAATGGCAAAGCCTCTTTTCACTTTATTGGAACATTACATTCAACAAATATAAAAATGCATTGGGCATTAGAATGAGAAATAGCATTATTGTCACATGTGCTCACATGAGGACAGTGAAAAGTTTACAAGGCGCCACTTACAGCGTCATCTTTGGTACAAAGATACCCAGGTACAGAAGCTTAGGTACAAAGCAAAAAAATAAAGAAACAAGGTCAAAAAGTTAAACATTACAGTCCTTCTTACTAAAAAGTAGAAAAACAAAGAAATACAGTTAACAGTTTAACACCACAGTCCATAAGCACCTGGCCATGCTGAGCTCACAGACTCCGCACAAGGGCTCGACCTCACCTGCTTTGGGCTCAAACTTAACCCCCCTTCGCCTCGGGGCAGCCTGTTCCCTCTCTCACCCTCTCGGGGCTGCCTGTTCCCTCTCTCACCACCTCGGGGCTGCCTGTTCCCTCTCTCACCCCCTCGGGGCTGCCTGTTCCCTCTCTCACTCCCTCGGGGCTGCCTGTTTCCTCTCTCACCCGCTCGGGGCTGCCTGTTCCCTCTCTCACCGCCTCGGGGCTGCCTGTTCCCTCTCTCACTCCCTCAGGGCTGGCTGTTCCCTCTCTCACCCCCTCGGGGCTGCCCGTTCCCTCTCTCACCCCCTCGAGGCTGCCTGTTCCTGCTCTCACCCCCTCAGGGTTGCCTGTTCCCTCTCTCACTCCCTCAGGGCTGCCTGTTCCCTCTCTCACAGACTCGGGGCTGCCTGTTCCCCTCTCTCACAGCCTCGGGGCTGCCTGTTCCCTCTCTCACTGCCTTGGGACTACCTGTTCCTGCTCTCACCATCTTGGGGCTACCTGTTCCTGCTCTCACCACCTTGGGGCTGCCTGTTCCCCTCTCTCACAGCCTCGGGGCTGCCTGTCCCCTCTCTCACTGCCTTGGGACTACCTGTTCCTGCTCTCACCATCTTGGGACTACCTGTTCCTGCTCTCACCACCTTGGGGCTGCCTGTTCTCACTCTTGCCCCCAGTCGGGCTGACTACCATCAACGTCAGAGACCTCTCTCGCCACCATGTTGGGCTACCCCTCCCCGCACTGGCTCGATCTCCTCTGCCCTGTGCAAACATGCAGCACATATAAAGCAAGTACATTACATTAAGACAAAAAAAAAGCAGTGAAAGAAGGAAAAAACGTAAAAGTACAAGGAGCAGGAGCCTACGCACTGTGCTTCTACTCCACTGCAATACCTTGAGGATATTGGTTATTGATAACTTACTGCCTGTGCCTGTTCAGTGTAAAGCTTTTAGAATTTAGGATGTGGTTAATTGGTCACAGCCCACATAGTACAACCCATTCCTGACACCACACTTCAGGAAGGAGGTCAGGGTCTTTGAGGGGGTGTGGAGAAGATTATATTTTATTCATTTTGTGGGATGTGGGTGTCACTGGCTGGGCCAGCATTTATCGCCCGTCCCTAGTTGCCCCTTGAGAAGGTGTTAATGAGCTGCCTTCTTGAACCGCTGCAGTCCCCCTGATGTGGGTTGACCCACAATGCCCTCAGGGAGGGAATTCCAGGATTTTGACTGATCACCATGAAATCGCTGCCAATTGTCGGAAAAACCCATCTGGTTCACTAATGTCCTTCAGGGAAGGAAATCTGCCATCCTCACCTGGTCTGGCCCACATGTGACTCCAGTCCCATGGCTATGTGATTGACTCTCAATTGCCCTCTGAAATGGCCTTGCAGGGCTCTCAGTTGTACCAATCGCTACAGTCTCAAAGATTAATCAGAATGGTTCAAGACACGAACAGTTTTAGTCAGAAGTTTGGGTTCCCAAAGCTGTCGTGTTCTCTTTGAAGCAAAGGTGCTTAAAGGGAGATTTAATTGAGGGGCACAAGATCATGGCAGTGTTATGAACCACCAGTGGATCAGTTGAATTATTTGTGTACTTTTCCTGTGTCTAGAACAGGTGACTTTGTAAAGTTTGTCTCTTTTCTCTCTTAAAAATGGTGATGTGTTTCCCTAAACATTGTTTTTGAAGTCCAGTTTTCAAAATAACTCTCAGCAAATTCTTCCAGCTGAAACCAATGTGTGGTTTATTACTTCACAACTTAGGAGGGGGATGGTTCACAACGTGGACTCACATAACGACACAGGGAAATAAGAAATCAAACATCAGGATAAAGTTGAAGGACATTTGATCATGTTAATTGAAAATAGGTTATATTATAATAATATGCAACAAAGAACTGCAAATACTAGAAATCTAAATCAAAAACAGAGAGTGCTGGAGAAACTCAGCAAGTCTGGCAGCATTTGTGGAGAGAAAGCAGAATTAACATTTCAAATCCAGTCTCTGAAGCAGGTCACCGGACTTAAAATTTTAACCCTGTTTCTCTCTCCAAAGATGCTACCAGATCTGCTGAGTTTCTCCAGCAATTTCAGTTAATAAGTTAATCATAATAATGTAATTGGAATGTTATGGAAACATTTAGACCTGTTAACACTAAAGGCTGTTAATAAATTAGAGTTAAAACAAAAATCAAGATGTGTCCTAACACAGAAACAAATTTTATGTTTTTTCCCAGGAGAAATTAAAACGCGTACACACAGGCACATACAGACACACATACACACATGCACGCACACACACGCATGTACACACGCGCATTTATACACTCATGCACACACGTATGCACGTGTAGACACAGACACATGCAGGCACATGTACACACAAACACAGACATGCAGACACAAACACATACATACAAACATGCACGCATGTGCATATAGATACAAACACACACACACATCTCAAAGGACTGTGAATCTGTGGAATTCTTTTCTGCAGAGGGCTATCGAGACTGGGTCATTTTATTTAAGGCTGAGTTAGACAGGCTTTTAATCAGTAAGGGAGTCAAGTTATATAGGGCAAAGGCAAGGGAGTGGAGTTGAGGGTTATCAGATCAGCCATGATCACATCAATGGACTGAATGGTCTACTTCTGCTCCTAAATCTTATGGCTTTACACACAGATGTGAACAAATGAGACTAAACTATTGTCTGTGAGGACAGATGTCCAATGTGATGTTGAAGTGACTGCAGCATTTTGTGTTATAGAAGGGAACTATTGTATTATGCTGAAGCAGCCATGAGGAAGACTGATAAAGTAGTCCATCTGTCTTTTAAAACTTGCTAACGTGCTCCTCTTTCTGCCTGTAGAATCCCAGACGTGAATTGGACGCAGATGGCTTCAAACTCCAGTGTATTCCACAACTTAACGTCTGGCCTTGCACTGGACATTGAAGAAACCTTGCTGAACAATTCCTCGGAGAATGCTATCGGAAAGACTAACCTGACCTGCACCATTGGTGGGAGGCACAATTACATCTTCCTTATAATCCCAGTCATATACAGCATCATCTTTGCCGTGGGAGTTTTGGGGAACAGCATGGTCGTCCTCGTAATTTATCGCTACCTGAAGCTGACAACCGTGGCGAACATCTTTCTGCTGAACCTGGCCCTAGCTGACCTGATCTTCATCATCACCTTGCCGCTCTGGGTGGCTTACACAGCTCTGGAGTACCATTGGCCCTTTGGGATCTTTCTGTGCAAGATGGGCACCACCATCGTGCAGTTGAACATGAATGCCAGCGTCTTCCTGATCACTTGCCTCAGTATCGACCGTTACCTCGCCATAGTGCACCCCATGAAATCAAGGACAAAGCGCACGTTAGTCCACGCATGGGTGGTTTGCATAATTGTGTGGATCTTGGCTGTTTTAGTGAGCCTGCCCCAGATGTTTCTCCGCGAAGTCATTCACTACAAGGAGTGGAATAAAACCATCTGCGCTTTCTATTACCCAGAGAAGCACAAGACTCAATGGATACTTGGCATGGCCTTGCTGAAGACCCTTCTGGGTTTTTTAATTCCCCTACTCATTATTTTGATCTGTTACACTCTAATTGTCAAGAGCCTGGTGCAGGCCTTTCAGATTGAAAGAAGCAAGCCAGCAAACAATGAGGCGTTTAAACTGATTGTGGCCGTCGTGGTGTCTTTCATTTTGTGTTGGCTTCCGTTCCAGATTTTCACTTTCTTGGATGTTCTTTCGCGGTTGAAGATTATCGAGCATTGCCACATCACTGAAATTATTGACACTTCCATTCCCTTCACAATCTGCGTGGCCTATTTCAACAGCTGCTTGAACCCCATCCTCTACGGCCTGGTAGGACAAAGCTTCAGAAGGAAATTCTTCCTGCTTTTGAAGTGTGTGCCTCCCAAGATCAGATCCCACCCGAGCCTGTCGACCAAAATGAGCTCACTATCTTATCGTACCATTGAATCACTGAGCGCAATAACCAAGAAACCAGTCTCTTCAAGCCAGCAATAGTTGCCGTACGCTGTTTTGGTGGCAAGTTGGAACAGACTAACCAGGTTCGGAAAAATCAAAGGTCCTGTCACCGGAAATGAAATTTTGCACTGTCGCTTATTTCAGTGATTAATTTCTCAGTTACAAGGGACCCCCTTGCTTCGAGGCTCTCCAACCTGCTGAGGCACAGGCTCCTAGTAGAGCCAGGTACTCATCCTTTGATCAAAGAATCAATCTGAATGCAACATCACAGCAAAGCCCAGCATGTTCCTGATCCACTGTCTACACAAGTACTGGTGTCAACGGATTGTGAAACAGGATTTAGAATGTAAACCAATTGAAGGAGCATGCTGGGGTCCACTGTAGTGTCTAACCTCCAAATAACTCAGCTGCCTTCCTGGTTCCCTCTCATCGTGTACACTTGCAACTTGAGGCCATGGATAGGAATCCCAATTCGTACCTTAAACCTCACCATCTAATTTCATAAATACCACACCCTACAGACTCAAAGCATCAACAAAGTAATACTCAATGACTTTCAGTATTCTACTTGAGTCAGATTTGGACTTGGGCCAGTATGACACATGAAACTTCAGGTGAAGTTCAAAACGAGCAGACCATGGCATATTTGGTTTAATGCTCCCATATTCAACTAATGTGAAGGAGAAAGAAAAGTATATAGGCTGCAAAAACAGAAGGGTGAGAAATTCCTCACGCTGGATGGACAGAAGGAAGATTCAACTTCATTGCAATTGGCTGACCCTTTCTTGGAATCTGGCAACTAGTGACAGAAAGGGGGAAGTCACACCTTGCTGCTACATTTTTCCTGCCAACTCAAGAGTTACAACTAGCCAGTTGATATTTCCCCGGGCAAAAGACCCCACCATTTTTTCTTTCAATCACAAGAAGGGCAAGTCATCTGAATGAAGGGCTTCACTAGCATGTGGTGATGGGACTCAATATGAGTTTCCCAGCGCCGAATCAATTGAAAAGTAGTGACCAAAAACCAGAAACTATGATTTGTCTATTCTTCAGAATGAGCCTGGCGTCTTGTTGGAGTTAGACATTGGGATGTTCATTAGGAGGCACCTAGATATGACACAGATCCACAATTCCTTTATTCAAGTGGACATCCATAGAATCTCTACAGTGTGGAAACAGGCCCTTTAGCCCAACAAGTCCACACCGATCCTCAGAGCATCCCACCAAGACCCATATAACCCACTTAGCCTGCACATGCCTGAACACTATGGGGCAATTTAGCATGGCCAATCCACCTAGCCTGCACATCTTTGGACTGTGGGAGGAAACCCACACAGACACGGGGAGAATATGCAAACTCCACACAGACAGTCGCCCGAGGCTGGAATCGAACCCGGGTCCCTGGAACTGTGAGGTAGCAGTGCTAACCACTGAGCCACTGTGTTTTAGACAAGATCAGTTTGAGTCAGACTGATCTGGTACCGGAGCAGGATTCCAGAAATCTTGACACCTGCCAAATTGCCAAAGCGTATTCACATAAAACTTGAAAGGAAGAAGTATTTAGATTTTTTGACAATTTACCAAATCCAAAGCAGGCAGAGACAGGATGCAAGCAAGGAACAGGGAGTGTGAGAATATGACTCGAGATGTGTGGTTTCCTTTGCTGTTACAGAATTTCATTAAAAGCCACTATCTACTACCAGTATTTATATGATAATATTAATGCTGGAATATGTCCTAAGGACTCAGGAATTGTATCATTACAGTATTGACATATAAGGACATTGTTGTGTTCAGCTGTTCAATGCTTCTGTCTTTCGAAACAGTGCTCTCTGTGGGTGATTATTTAAGGCCAGATATAGTGTCTTGAAAAAGAGAAATTAAAGTGCAGTTATTGAGCCCTCATGGCACAGTGGTCATGTCCCTACCTCTCAGTCAGGTGGCCTGGTTCAAGTTTCACCTGCTCCAGATATAACATGCCGGAACAGGTTGCTTAGGAGAGAAAAAAAAGACTAAATTCATCATTAAACCATGGCCATGCAGCTAAAAGTGTGAGAGCATACCTTAAAGTATGTAAATAAAAACGTGTTCAAATATAACCTGGCACGTATCATCTCAGCACATCTCTGAGGCCTAAAACGCAGGAGAAATATCAGGACAGGTGGTCAAAGGAATGGGTTCCAACAGGTGTGTTATAGAAAGGTGGCGTGGGTTAGGAAGGGAATACTATTTCAATAGCTGAGGACATAGAATCATAGAATCCCTACAGTGTGGAAACAGGCCCTTTGACCCAACAAGTCCACACTGACCCTTGGAACATCCCACCCAGACCCATCCTGCTATAACCCACCTATTCTACACATCCCTGAACACTTTGGGCAATTTAGCATGGCCAATCCACCTAGCCTGCACATCTTTGGACTGTGGGAGGAAACCGGAGCACCTGGGGGAAACCCATGCAGACACAGGGAGAACACGCAAACTCTACACAGATAGTTGCCTGAGGGTGGAATTGAACCTGGGTCCTTGGTGCTGGTGAGGCAGAATGCTAACCACTGAGCCACCGTGCCGCTAACATGACTGCCAAAAGTAGGGTGACCAAAATTGGGAATCCTCAAGGGATTAAAATTGAATCGATAAGTTGCATTGGACTTCCCACACACAGATTTTGGGTAACCAGGTCAGCAGAGTGGCTGTCTACTGGGCAGGGGAGGGGGGCGAGGTGGAGGGGGGCTGTCTGATACATTAGGATGAAGTCCGGGGGAGGGTGAGTGTGGTCGGGATCTAATCTTTGGGGTGGTAGAGAAGTTGCAGTGGTAAAGAGGAAATTGGTAAAGCCAACCCAACATTTCTGTGGCTGCACCTCCAGTACTGTCTAAGAATTGAAAATGCCTTGCTGTGGGAGCCCAGCACTCACTGACTCGGTTAGCAACTTTAACTGAATGGCAGGAGGCCCTAGACAACAAGAAATGACTAAGGGATAAGTTCATCATCATGACGTTATACCTGTTATGTTTTTTTCTTGAAAAACACAATCAAATAACCAGCTTGCCAAGTGCAAATTCAGCTATTGCTCTATCTCTCCCCATCTCCTCATTGGTGTATTCAATTTATTGCTCAAATTGTGGCACATACAAATTAAGAGCAAGAGTAGACTCTTCAAGCCTGCTCCATCATTCAATTAGATCATAGTTCATCTGTTCATGTTCCAATTTTCATATTCCCCTCCACCCTCCAATAACTTTTTGATTCCCTTGCCTAACAAGAATTTCCCTCCACCTGAAAAATATTTAAAGGTCCTGCCTTCTGAGACAGAGCATTCCAAAGTTGCACGACCCTCCAAAAAAGAAACCCCCATCTCTGAACTAAAAGGGTGCTCCCTATTTCTGGATTCATCCATAGGAGGACTCACATTACCACATTCTCCTTGTCAACACCATTCAGGATCTTATAAACTTCAACCAAAACAATGGTACGTAAGACCATAAGGTGTAGGAGCAGAAGTAGGCCATTCAGCCCATCGGGTCAGCTCTACCATTCAATGAGATCATGGTGGATCTGTTCATTCTCAACTTCACTTTTTTGCCTTTACACAGTAACTCCCTGATTCACTTACTGCTTAAAAATCTGCTGATCTCAGCCTTGAATCTATTTATGACCCAGCCTTAACAGCCCATTACAGTAAATAATTCCACAGATTCACTACCTTCTGAGAGAAGAAATTCTTCCAATCTCTTGCCTAAATGTATGAGCTTTTACTTCGAGATTACGCCCTCTGGTCCAAAACTCTCCCACAAGGAGAAACAGATTTTCCACATCTACACTGTCAAGTCTTCTCAGAATTTTGGATGCTTCAATGAGTTTCAATATGTTTCATGTTTCATCTTAGATTGTTAAATTAATATATGCTATACACTTGGCTAGCGTGTGGTTCAGAGTAATGCCAAGAGTATGTGTTTGATTCCCACTAGAACTAATGTAGACCTGGGACCTGACACTTTAACCTCTCCCTGAGCACTGGGCAGCAATGGCAAACCATATTAACAGAAACTCAAGTAAAGGGTTCAAGGAGAAACAACAGCCAAAGAGCTGCCTTGGAGAAGAGCACATGTGACATGACACTCTTACAATGAGCAAAACAAGTACAAAAAGTTAGCAAATTAACCCTGTGTTGCTGAACTGTGCATTTGAGCGAGAGACTCAAATGAGGCAAATATTCAACAAACAAATTCAGGCCATAGTGTTTTCAAGTCTGTAGTTTGGAATTCTGTAACCACATTTAAAGCTTTATTTTCAGGGTTGCTTCCATCAACAGAAAGTAGACGAAATAAACACACAGAAGGGTAGTGAAACTCAGCAGGTCTGGCAGCATCTGTGGAGAGAGAAACAAAGTTAACGTTTCGCGTCCAGTGTGACTTCTCTTCAGAACTGGAGTTCTGACCCGAGGCAGCTCTGAAGAGTCATGCCACAATCAAAAGTTTATTCTGTTTCTCTCCCCGCAGATGCTGCTAGATCTGCTGAGTTTCTCTAAGACTCTCTGTATTTCAGTTTGCCAGCATCCACAGTATTTTGCCCTTATTTGAAAGTAGATGAAGTGCGGTTAACATGCAAATGAGCTTGGCGTTAATCTTTCTCTGCCCAAAGTACTGTCAACTATAATCTCTTTCCTTCACCCAGCTTGTCAATGGAAATGGCCAACCACAAAGCTATTGTGTGCAAAGGTTAATTCTCTGACTCTCATTATTTCTGAGCAACGTTCGGGCCCATTCACACTAAAAACTGAATGAGGAAGCAAGATTTTCATCATTTCGATGACTATGTTGTTGTCATGACTGCAAATACCTTTCAATCCAAGAGGTCAATGCATGGAACATTCCTCAACGCTACGCATCTTTCAGCAAGTTAAATGTAGAACCTTTCAACTTGTGTAGCTTTTTGGTGTATGCAATAAGTTATTGTATCTATCATATCTGCATTTTTTATAAACTCACAACTTTTAAATAAAGTGTTAACTCTATTATCACGGTTTATGTTGAATTAACTCATTTTACTCATTATGTATTCCACAATGTATACCTGTGAGCTGCCTCCATACAGGATCCACATATTGTATACATCAAAGGTAGAATTTAAAAACGCTGGAAATATGAGTAGGTGTAGGCCATTCAACCCCTCAAACCTGCACCACCATTCAATAAAATCATGATTGATCTGATTGTGGACTTAACACCATTCTCCTCCCTGTTCCCATAATCCTTTAATCCCTTTTCGCTCAAGAATCTATCTCAGCCTGGAATATGTTCAAAGTCTCAGCCTCCACACTGCAAAGATCCACAACTCACTGTGAGAAGAAATGTGTCCTTATCTCCGAATGAATTAGGTGGAGACCCCTTATTCTGAAACTGCACTCCCAGTTCTAGATTACCCTCTCAAGGGGGAATGCCCTGTCAGCTTCCACACTGTCAAGCCTGCTCAGATTAGAACATAGAACATAAATAGAAAATAGAACATAGAACTGTACATCACAGGAACGGCCCCTTTGGCCCACAATGTTGTGCCGAACGTGATGCCAAATTAAACTAATTCCTTCTGCCTGCCCTTGGTCTATATCCCTCCATTCCTTGAACATTCAGATCTAGATTCTTAGATGTTTCCATAAGGTAACCTCTCCCTTATAAACTCCAATAAGAATAGGCCCAACCTGCTCAATTTTTCTTCAAAACACAACCCCTTCATCCTAGCACTCAACCCAGTGAATGTCCTTCAGTGCAGATCCCACCTCAAATAAGGAAACCAAAAGTGTATGTCAAACCGTAGCTAAGGTCTCATTAACAAACTGGACGACGACAGGTATACTTGGCACTGCAAAGATTTCTGAAGTAGGGTCCCGACCTGAAACATCAGCTTACCTGCTCCTCTGATGCTGCCTGGCCTGCTGTGTTCCTCCAGCTCCACGCTGTGTTATCTCTGACTCAGGATCGGCAGTTCTTACTATCTCTATAGGTATATCTCCTTATTTTAAGACTCTATTCCCCCAAAAATAAAAGCCAACATTTAATTTCCCTTCCTAACCATTGTATGTTTCACTCCACTTCAATATTATTTTGCTTTTCTATTTTTCCAACCAAAATAGATTTACTGCATTATTCTCCCTCCTGAGGAAGCAGTGGGAATGTCATAGAATCCCTGCAGTATCAAAGCAGGCCATTCAACTCCACACCAACCCCTCTAAAGTACATCTCACCCAG